AGTCAAGTGCATTTTAGCTACAAAGATCCCAACAAGAGAGTGGAAGGAAACTTAGACGGGGCTTTGTTTGACTCCGTGTAGCGACAACAAGAGAAACAAAACTACCTATTTGTAACGGACGTGCGGCCGCGGCTCTCTGCATTGAGCGCCCACCTATTGAAACCTCTCGGTGGGGACAATGGGCGAGGGGCTAAAATTACCCTCTGGGGTCCCGGGCCGGCGGGATTCCGGCGCGCGTGTCCCCGCCCCCATCCCCGCTTCCCGGTTCCTTCCAGCTCGCAGCTGCACCTGTGCGTGCGGGGCGACCCCCCGGCGCCCCTGCAGGCCGGTCACCCCGCGCCCCCCCAGCGCAGCCGCCCTGGGCCCGGGGCGGCCACCGCCGTAGAAGTCGCCGGGTGGGTGGGTGGAGGGGGGATGCCAGGGCGGGTTCCGCTCGAGTCCTGGGAACTCTGCGTGGGAGGGAGCTGCGAGCGCGGCCCCAAGGCCCCCTCCGTCACTGCGCCCGGGGATGCCAGGAAGTTGCGATTCTGAGAGTCCCTCTGTTGGGTCTCTCTCCTCCCCCCCCACCCGTCCCATCCCCATCCCCACCCCCACGCCCAGTCCCCTTTTGAACTGGCACTGCTGAAACCCCTCTCGAGGGAACGCCCGGGAGGGAAAAGTCGGGGAGAGCGGGCGCACGGATTGCCCCGGGGGGAGCGCAGGGGGAGGAGGGCGGTGGGCGGCGGGGCAGGCCACCGTGAGGTCGGGGGCCGGGCTCTCCGGCCGCGACTGGAGCCAGGGGCGGTCGTGCCGGCGATCCGCTCCCCCAGACCCTGCGTGGGGCTCCGCTCTCGGGTGGGGCCTGGGGGAGCCCGAGCAGGATTCCCGCTGGACCCCCGAGCCGGGAGCCTGGAAGCGAGAGGAGGGCTGGGGAGGACCGAGGTCTCTGTCTGTCTCCTGACTTGAGGTCCGGGACGGCGCGTTCTAGAAGGCACCTGTGGAGGGAGAGGGGCAAGGCGGCGGGGCCTGAGGCGCAGGGGGGCGGCGGGCGGCGGGAGGGGGGCCCGCCGGGACGCGGCGGCGGGGCCGGAGACCCAGGACGCGCCAAGCCTGCCTGCGCGTTTCCTGCAATCCTAGTGGGACGGTCGACCCGCACCACCCACTGGGCCCTGCCCCGCCCCCGCCTCCGGCCAGCACCCCGCCCCCCAAAAGCGCACGGAGATTAAGTTTTCACTGCAAAAAAAAAAAAAAAAAAAGGAGAGCGAGCCAGCCAGGCAGCGTCGGAGTCTCCGCGCCGTTCGCCCACTTGCTCCGAAGAGGCGCGCGGTGTGGGACCTGTTGCTGGGCGCGGGCCTGCCGAGGTTCCCCGGCGGCGGGCGGGCGGGCCGGCGGGAGCGCCCCCCGCCCCGCGGCCCGCGCGCCCCCCGGTGCCCGGCTCCCCCGCCTGGCGCGCGAGGCCCCGCCCCCTTTCATGCAAAAGCGGGCGGCGAGGCCGGGCTCGAGTGGAGGAGCCGCCGCGCGCTGATTGGTCGCGGGAAACCCATTTATTCCCTGACAGCCCCCGTCACATGGACGGTTGTCTATTAACTTGTTCAAAAAAGTCTCCGGAGTTGTCAAGGCAGAGGAGCGAGTGTTTGCCAAAGGGGGGAAGGAGTTTGCTGCCTCTTTAAGGCCGGGGCCGGGAGGAAGAAGAGGAGCGAGGAAGCCAGGGGGAGAGAGAGAGAGAGAGAGAGAGAGAAAGAGAGAGAGAGAGAGCGAGAAGTTGGAGCCCCCCGGCTTGCGCCTTTCCCCAAACTCCTAGGAACGGGCGGCGGCGGCGGCGGCGGCGGGACCGGCCAGAAGAGGAGGGAAGCGCCTTTTCTTTTTTTCTTTTTCTTTTTTTTCTTTCTCTCTTTTTTTTTGTTTTTTTTGGGGGATCCCGCTCCCAGGCCCCTTCTCCCTCTCTCGCGCCCCTCTCCGCCTCTCCTTCCCCCGAGCCCTCCTCCGCCGTCGGACTCGGCCCGCCGCGGAGCCCCGCGCGCCCGGCACCCCCGCCCGCGGGCCCCCACCCCCCTCCCCCGAGTCCCGGCCGGGCCGAGGGTCGTGGGCGGCGGCCGCCGGCCGGCCGGGCCCGCCGCGCGCAGCGCCCGCATGTACAACATGATGGAGACGGAGCTGAAGCCCCCGGGCCCGCCGCAGACTTCGGGGGGCGGCGGCGGCGGCGGCGGCGGTGGCGGCGGCGGCAACCCCGGGGCGGCGGCGGCGGCGGCGGCGGCGGGCGGCAACCCCAAGAACAGCCCCGACCGCGTGAAGCGGCCCATGAACGCCTTCATGGTGTGGTCCCGCGGGCAGCGGCGCAAGATGGCCCAGGAGAACCCCAAGATGCACAACTCGGAGATCAGCAAGCGCCTGGGCGCCGAGTGGAAGCTGCTGTCCGAGACGGAGAAGCGGCCGTTCATCGACGAGGCCAAGCGGCTGCGCGCGCTGCACATGAAGGAGCACCCGGATTACAAGTACCGGCCGCGGCGGAAAACCAAGACGCTGCTCAAGAAGGACAAGTACACGCTGCCCGGCGGGCTGCTGGCGCCCGGCGGCAACGGCATGGCCAGCGGCGTCGGGGTGGGCGCCGGGCTGGGCGCGGGCGTCAACCAGCGCATGGACAGCTACGCGCACATGAACGGCTGGAGCAACGGCAGCTACAGCATGATGCAGGACCAGCTGGGCTACGCGCAGCACCCGGGCCTCAACGCGCACGGCGCGGCGCAGATGCAGCCCATGCACCGCTACGACGTGAGCGCGCTGCAGTACAACTCCATGAGCAGCTCGCAGACCTACATGAACGGCTCGCCCACCTACAGCAGCATGTCCTACTCGCAGCAGGGCACGCCCGGCATGGCGCTGGGCTCCATGGGCTCGGTGGTCAAGTCCGAGGCCAGCTCCAGCCCGCCCGTGGTCACGTCCTCCTCGCACTCCAGGGCGCCCTGCCAGGCCGGGGACCTGCGGGACATGATCAGCATGTACCTCCCGGGCGCCGAGGTGCCCGAGCCCGCCGCGCCCAGCAGACTGCACATGGCCCAGCACTACCAGAGCGGCCCAGTGCCCGGCACGGCCATCAACGGCACACTGCCGCTGTCGCACATGTGAGGGCCGGCGGACCGGAGGGGCTGGGGGGCGGGCGGCCGGGCGGGGGTCCGAAGTGGGGGGCGGGGGAAAGAAAGGAAAAAACACACACAAGGCAAACGAGGCGAGGGCACTGGGAGGAGAGTTCGGAAACCGCGCGCAAAAGGTAAAAATAAAAAGCGCAGAAAGGAAGGTCCTCGCAGCGGATGACAGCTGCGGGACAGAGAGCAGCAATCCCAACCACACTCGAGCAAAAAAAAAAAAGAGAGAGATGCCGACGAGAAAACTTTTATGAGAGATCCTGGACTTCTTGGGGGACTATTTTTGTACAGAGCGAACCGGGGTGGGAGGGGCGGGAGGGCGAGGAGGGAAGGCACCGTGTATAGATCTGGAGGAAAGGAAACTACGCAAAACTTTTTGAAAGTTCGAGGGAGGCGGTAGGAGCTCTGCAGAAGAAAGTTGGCAAAAGTCTTTACCAGTAATCTTTAGAGCTAGTCTCCAAGCGCCGAGAAAAATGTTTTAATATTTACAGGCAACTTTTGTACAGTATTTATCGAGATAAACGTGGCGACCAAAATGTCCATCGTTTATAAGCTGAGAATTTGCCAATATTTTTCCAGGAGAGGCTTCTGGCTGAATTTTGAGTCTGCAGCTGACAGTTAGGACAGTTGCAAACGTGGGAGGAAGGAAAAAAAATACTCAGATTTGGACTGTTCAAAAATTGTACAAAAGGCAGAAATTAGCATAAGTACTGGCAAAACCATCTCCATGGTCTTGAAAGGGGCAAAAGTTTTAGATTGTACTAAATTTTTTAACTTACTGTTACAAGCAAAAACGGTCATGCAGGTTGACATCGTTGGTAATTTATAATAGGTTTTGTTTCCCAACTTTCCATTTTGTTCAGATAAAAAAAGAAACCATGAAATTACTGTGTTTGAAATATTTTCTTATGGTTTGTAATATTTCTGTAAATTTCTTGTGATATTTTAAGGTTTCCCCCTTTTATTTTCCGTAGTTGTATTTTAAAGATTCGGCTCTGTATTATTTGAATCAGTCTGCCGAGAATCCATGTATATATTTGAACTAATACCATCCTTATAACAGGTACATTTTCAACTTAAGTTTTTACTCCATTATGCACAGTTTGAGATAAATAAATTTTTGAAATATGGACACTGAAATTACGTTTGAGTCTTTCATTTACTTGGATAACACTGATTATACATAACTCCTCGGGGAAAATAGACTGTGCTCAGCCAAGAAAGCAAAATACCTAAAACCTTGATATTCTCGTCCAGCCGCAAGTGCTCATAATATTAGCTGCAACAAATCAAAGGCTGGCTGATTAATTGAAGGAGTACTCGCAAAAAAAAAATTGAAATGCTCATGTCATTTCAAATAGAAACTAGAGATATATATTGAAAATCCACCCCCTCCTTTTCTAAGCAGCTTGAATAAGCATGATGGGGACTTAAACTGATTTATGCCACTTGTTGCCAGAAAGAAGTCAATTCTGAAAATGTTCTGTAGCTTAGCAGATGGGGTATTGAGTCAAATCAGAACCAGGTTGGCTGGTTTTGTTTTCGTTTTCTTCACAGTACAATGGCCCTTTGGAAACCTGGTTCAGGGGGGGAAATGATGCTTCTTGTATCGGAGTGATTGCAAACTAGACATGCAAAGTCTCATCTGCTTTGGTGGGTGTTTGGATTATTCCGGCCTGCTATTGTCTGAGAGGAAACAAGTGGTTGGCTTCCTTTGTTCCTTGACTTTATAAACTTTCTCCTCTACATTTTCTTGTTTAGGGCCGAGGGAAAGCAAAGACCGTCTTGCAAAACTCCCGACTTATCACGGCTATTATTATTATTATTTATTTTCTTTTTTCCTCTCTCTCCCTCCACGAATTCCATTTCTTACATTGCCAGCGCGGGTTCAAGCCTGTAGCCCCAAATCGGATAATCTCTGCAGCTGATAACAAGCAAATGCGAAGCCAGGCAACAGCCATATTAAAGAAGAATACAATCAACTCTGAGGTAGATATTTTACTTTGTCCGGTCTAATCACATTGGGAGATGATTATGCATTTGATCTGTTAACAATGTTTGACGACTGTGGTAGAAGAGTAGGAGGAGGGGGAAAGGGGTGCTTAAAGAAGATGGCATTTGTTGTTTCTTTTGCCCTAGAAAGGGGAAAGACTGTAGTTGTCTTCCGTGGGAGCGGAATCGTCACGCTCATTGACTTGGCGATGATTCTGCGGCACAGCCGGCCGGTGCTTGGGCGCTGCCGGACGGTCTCGGCGACTTTCTTTCTTTAGTTCTCACCTCGCTCGTCTTTCCCCACCGAGGGGACCAAGAACCGAGAGTCAGACATTCTTAAGAGCCTGGGTTAACTTCGCACAATTTCCAGGGCTCCTGTGTCAACTCACAAGTTTGGAGGAAGGCTCTTCCTTCCTCCCAGGCTTAAAAGTACCAGCTGCAGTCACTGCGTTAGCCCAGCCCGTTTGGTTTGCTTCTTATCTTCTCTTTTTCCAAGGAAAGTGTTTCTTTCTCGTGATGGGGTTCTTGTTATTTCTGAGCTCAACCTGGGAGAGCTCATATTTTCCGCAATCTTTAAAATTTCACGTGGGGTGCTATTTATTTTAGGTGCGCGTTGGTTTTCGATTTCCTTTAAAAAAAAAAAAACCTGCAGTTTTAGGGTAATATTGTACTGGCAAAGGACAATTATTATGCCAGTTCCCAGTTCTTAGCGAGGCATCTCTCCCCCCCCCCCCCTAATTAATGCAGAGACTCTAAAAGAATTTCCCCGGGCCTGGCTAGCCATTGTAATGCATATACGGATTATTCACGTGGTAATGAGCACATTCGCCAGTTCTTGCTCACACATACGAATAAAAGAAACTTTGAATAAAGATCCAAATGATCTTGCTGGGGTTTGGGGGAGGATATTCCCGGAATTTGAGCCAATCAAGTGTAAAGAGTATATATTTGAAAAAATAGAAATATTTTAGGAATATATATTGAGGTTTGAGTAATTGCACAGCACTAATCTCACTTTAAAAAAAAAACTCCCACATAATTCATCTAAAAAGGCAACTTTTGGCAAAATACTCATTTTGCAAGAAGAAAAAACCAAACTTGGGGGAGTTGAATTAGTTTTGAATGGTTGTCACCCACAATATAAAACAAGAGAACTTCTATTCCCTCATCTACTCCTACATAGCTCCTAACTAAATAAAACCCAAAATATTTTGGTTTGCAAATATAAATCATTTCGGTAAAATGAATCTGAGGAAACAGTACATATTTCATCTTTCATTTGACTGGGCTAAAGGATTCCCTGAGATGTGTCATTTAGTAATTAGATTAATATTGAACATATAGTATTTTAATTATGTGATTTGCAAGAAGAGAGTAAATCTTGCCGAGAAACGGTGACCTCCTGATGTTGAAATTTGTTAGTTGTTGAGTGTTCCTTTCTTGGGATATTATCTGCTTTCTAAAACTACTTCATTTCCAATTAAAGTGGTGAATTTAATGTTTTTTGAACCCTATACAGAATAGAACTGTGCAAAAGGATAAGATTATAGCTTGTACCTTCTGCCATTTTTTTCTCTCCCTACACCCTCCCCCCCCCCACACACACACACTTTAAATAAAGAGCGTTAAAATATTTTTGCTGAGCTGTAGTAGATTAGCAAGGTTTCTGGCCAGTGCTGGGAAGCTGGTATTACAGCCGGTCCCAGGGGGAAATGGCTCGCATTAACCACTAAATGAATATTTGACAAGGGCTCATTCGGAGGTATTATTACTATAAACGTGTCCCTACTGGACTTTTCAAGGGTCAAAGAGCAACGCTTCAATTAATTATTTAGTCTGCTAGTAGATTTGGTTGTAATAGCTGTACTTATTTCTAGAACTGACACATTCTTGCAGTAGGAAATCTCAGGAGAATCTTCTCCATCAGCAATGCCTTGGATTGAAATACACTCAGAGCCCTGGGATTCGAAAACAGACTTTTTCGTAAAGTGTTTTCCTGAGCTGGAGCTGGAGTGGGATTATAGTTCTTCTTTCTTTTTATTTAACTGTTTTTGATTTACAAGAAAACAAGACCATGATATGTTACCTTAATTTTCCCATCACGCCTGGCAAGGTCTTTCAGGGCCTTGCAATTTGGGGAGCGAAGGGAGGGGTTTTCTTTATAACCTTTGCCTTTTCTGAGTGGAGCTATACCACAGGATTTCAGCAACTCAGACAATCTCTGTCTTTAGAAAAGATATACATTCCTGTGTCCCATTAAAAATCAGATTTTAAAACAGAAAATTCATAGGCTCAGTACTCTGAGTTCCAGGACTCTCTGAGAGTAAATTGGGGTAGGAGATAGGCCCTCCCTCCCTATCAGCTGCTTTGAACTCTTCCAGGTATTGGGGGGAAGGGGTAGCGTCCATTTCTGCCATGTCATAAGTTCCTCCTTGGCCCTAGGTAAAGTGGTAAGAGAATGGTTTTGAGATAAGATTTCTTGACAATAATATAAGGTGAATGAATAAGAGATAATCTGCTAGGGGTGGGTGACTGGATGCAGTAATTACAAACCCAGTTCATTCAGCTTTTCAGAACTTTTGTTGTGAGAGCTCCATTGACGGTCTTGAGCTGCCAGTTTTCTCACATTAAAAAGAACTGATCAGCGCCTCAGGGGGACAAGAAATACCGTTTAACTGCATAGTGATGGGGTCTTCATTTAGAACCCTTACAAGAAGAAAATTAAACAGTGCCTTTGTGTGCACAAGGTTTACTTTTCAACTGCTAACAGTTTATAGCTAACTGCTCTAAGATTGAAGTTTGGCTGTGGTTTGATCGCCTGCTATTTGACACTGCTTATTTATTTATTTGTTGTAATTAAAAGAGTGTTTTGTATTACGTTCCCCCTTTCATGCTCTGCTCTTGGAGAATTTTGCCTAACAGGTCTTCATATTTTACTCTGTGGATGAAGTTTCCTTTACTTTAGCAGGGACTTGAGTTAGTTAACATTCTCCAACACTTTCCACCCCCTCCCCACTACTGCCTTAAAATAATTTGCATCTCACTGCTCCTCATAGTGCCTGCCTTTCCTTGTTTTCAGAGCAAAAACTGCTTCTCAGGACAGCTACATGTGAGGATAGAAATGTCGTGATTTCTTGCTTTTCTTTTTTCTACTAAATAGATATGTATATATGTATATACATATATACCTATATATTGGGGTGAATTTGGATCTGTGAGGTGGATCCCTCAAAGACAAGAGAAGGGAAGTGAGCTCTCCATCTTTCCTGTGAAAATATTAATCAAGTCCAAAGGGACAGTGCTCTGGCATCCTAGACTAAACATCTGTAAAAAGTTTTTTTTTTCCAGAAAAAGGCAGTTGCTCAAAAATCAGAAAATTGATTTGCTGTCTTTCATTTCATTATTATTTTTTATCCAAAACTTTCTTGGAAACCTGACCTCTGATATTTCCCAAGAAACTTCTCTCTCTCTCTCTCTCTCTCTCTCTCTCTCTCTCTCTCTCTCTCTCTCTCTCTCTCTCTCTTACTCTCACTTTCTCCTCCCCATGCGGTCTAGTTTTACAATTTTCAAGTTGTATGCTTTTCTTCTTTGGCTCTTAGAAAATAATGGGCTTGCCTTTCTTATCTTGACTGAGAGACTTGTCTTTGAAAGTAGGCTGGGTTACTAAGACAAGGCCGAGATTCCGGTGGCAGAGAGTTCCATTTCCTGTATGCGAACAGGGATTTACCTAGATTTCATTTTATATTTTGGTGCAATGAGGATTTTCCTTCTATTGCTTGAGCCCTCATTCCAGTTTCTTCTTTAAAAGGAAATAGAACATCCTCTGAACGTGCAGATCTTTGCAGCTCTGGGCTTTTGCACTTGTGATGCTTGCTCGACTTTGCAAAGAAGTGTCAGGTAATTAAAAAGCTCCAAGGAGCCCTGCGTGTCACTACGCTCCTCTGCCTGCTTGTACAGAATCCGTGTGCATTGGTGGTAAAGACTGCGGCACTGTGAATATATCTTGTGCGGTCCCTCTCCGGGCGAAGGCGCTCAGCTCCCGGCCGCCAGCGCTAGGGCCTCCCACCGCAGACCCCCCGGGAGCGCGCTGCGCCCGAGCCCCCGGGGAGCGGATGCGCAGACTGTGGCGAGGAGGAGCGCGCCTGGCCGGGACCTGACGTCACCGCCGCCCAGGCCACGGCCCCCAAGGAGACTCGCTGGGAAGGTGCTGCGTAGGGCAGGGGTTCTCTTTTCCTAACGGCTCCGGAAAACATCCGGATTTCTTCTTTCAGCCCTGAAAGATGCCGAGGCAGGCACAGCTGCAAAGTCTTCCGAAGTGTGGCAGGCCTTAGCACCTGTCCTAAGCTCTACCTCCTTCGGCAGCCCCGCTCCAGCCCTCTCCATGGCGATCTCCTGATTCCTGGGATGGTTCTAGACCCCAAACTTGCCTTAACTGAGACTGTTCGACTCACATCCTCTTGCCTGTTACCCCAGGTGTTTCCTTGTAAAGAGTTGTTGGTTCCTGTTTGGTACCAAGTCACAGCTTCCAGCCATCCCGCTTAAGTCCTTCACCACCGTGCCAGGTGCCGGACTGGCATGGATTGTTCGCTCCCCGGAATACTGGGCCCCTCTGGGATAAAGATCACGCAGAGTGATCCAGTGATCCGTTCACTTTGCCATGTGTAAAATAGGAATCAGATGTATTTACTCCGCGGAAGAGGAGTACTAAAGGAAGTGTCTGACACCAGATAAGATTCATTGATAGCTGGCACTCTTCTTACTGTCGCGTTTCATTAAGAAATAGAAATGGGCAAACTACTCTTAGACACCAGGGGTCAAAGTAGAAATTCGGGTCCTTCCTTTCCTACGTGGTCCTAGGTGGTGAAATGAACCTTGTTCAGACAACCCTCTCGCTTTCCAGGCTGAGGGTTCCACGGGGAAGTTATCTTGCAAACTTGCCATCACCGGGCATCTGCCTTGAAGGAGGAGAGGAGGGGATTCCGGCATTCCGGGCTGGAGTCCCCCCACCGCGTA